CGTCGTCAGTGACAAGTTTGATCCGCGCTGCATACGCGGGTGATATTATGTTTGTAGCGCTGCTACAGGCTCTCGGGAGCAAGGAGTCTGGAAACTCACGCAAGAAGGATTTGGCGCGATTGCGCGCCCGGTTACACCGATCTTCGTTGAAAAACGGGTTGCTGTATTATAGCACCGATTCGACGGATACACCACAGGTTGTGGTGTCTCACGATGAGAATTTGAAGTACCGTATCCTCTATGAGGCCCACGACACCCCACCCAGTGGTCATCTCGGTCTTGAGAAGACGTACTCTGTGAGTTACCACTACTGGCGGCCAAGGTGCAAAAATAGACGAGCACATATGTGCGTACGTGTGAGACGTGTCAAAGGGTGAAACCCTCTTCGAGTGCACGCCACTGGCCAGTTTACTGGTACTCTCCGGGTGTTTTTAGTCCATGAGTATTGGACTTTTGTGTTTGGCCTACCGAAGGATTCGGCGGGCAACAAGGGTGTGGTGGTTTTAATGGACCGTTTGAGCAAGATAGCTCATTTTGCAGCGGTATTGGACACCATCGACGGTGTGGGTATAGCGACGCTGTTTGTGGGTCTCTTCTCTCGACAAAATGGACTCCCGGAGTCATTTGTCTCTGATATAGACCAGCGCTTCGCTGGAAAGTTTTGGTCCACACTCTTCAGGGTACTGGGCACCAAGCTGACTATGTCAACAGCGGACTATCCGCAGACCAGTGGTCGGACTGAGTGCGTGAATCGCGTCGCTGAAGTCGTTTTTTGCAGCGTCTGCGCTGAGACGCTGAAGCACTGGAGCGCTATGTTGCCACTCGTAGAGTTCTCACTGAGCAATGCAGTGCATTCATCTATCGGCTAAACGCCGTTCAACGTGAACGGGCTTGTTTATCCTCGCGTCCCGCTGACACCGCCATCCCATGATTCAGGGCTTGGCGGGGGAGGAACAGCCGAGCGGCTAGCTGGTAACGGCCCCCTTACCATGCGTAAAGAAGTCGAAGACTTCCTGTATACCAAACTGAGTGTCACGATGCGATGGCTGAAAGCCAATACATGCAGAAGGAATATGCAGACGGAAGAGGAAGAAGGAATGTATAAAAGATTGAGGTCGCAGATCTGGTTTTATTAAAATGCTAAAAACTTTCCATGCAGTTTCTGCTGTCTTCAAGACGAAGCTCCGTCCACGGTCTATTGGGCCTTTAAGGTCGTGGCTAAGCGAGGCCTAGCGTATACGGTGAACCTTCCCGGAAGGATGCGCACTCACCCAGTGTTTTATGTGAGCTTGCTTAAGCCGTACCGGGATCTGGCGCAACTGAACGCGGAAGCATTGGCGCTGGGGCGGCGCCCAAAGGCGCTCGGCCACCCAGAAGCTGAGCTAGCAACTAATTCTGAGCACGGAGCGCAACATCTTACGTTTCCAACGGCGCAAGGCTCTCCACTGTCGCACAAAGTGACGTTTTTATCTACTCGACGGATAGGAGCTGCTCTGAAAAAGCACGATAATCCTCAACGCGAGGCTGTCGGTGCATAAGTGCTCCAGACTCTCGAGGTCTTCCGCACAGCGCTAGAAAACACGGGAGAGATGCTTGGCAGAGGGTAGCGTCGCTAGTTGCAGCAATTCACGCTCAATCGAGTACCGATGACGACGGACTTTGTCCTCCAGCGCTTGAAGAGCATCGCAAGTCACCGGACGGCGATCGACCAAGTCGTTACCGTCCGCCACCGAATTTTCTCGATGAGAATGGTGGCGTCCACTACTGCGTGGAATACCAGGTGGGTCGACGTCGTCGACGGGGTTTAACCTAATATCTTATGAAGTGGTGGAGATACCCAAATTCCAAGAACTTTTGGGGGTTAGAGTTGCCACCTCGGCAAGACTGCCCAGATGTCGTACACGCTTATGACAGAGCGATCATGACGATCCTCGTCGTTGTACGCCCCGCGCTTCTCAGCGGTAGCCCAAGAAGCCGAAGGATCATGAGCTGAGCCCACGCTATGACCCTGAGCTACGGTAGTCGTAGACTCAACCACAGAACTCGCGAAAGCGTGATGGATTATTCATGTGCAGGGCGACAATACGTAGGAAGTCGGCGCTGTGCCTTCAGCTTGGCAAACTTCAATCAAAGATGGCGTTCTACGCGCACGTCTACTTCCTTGTGGCTTTAATGTAGGTTAGACAGCGAAGAAAGTTTCCGGTGCCGCTACATCCATCGCTCACGGAGATCCTCGTCATCTGCAGCGGTTTCGCCTTAGGCGAGCACCACAGGAATGGTCCGCATTGCGGGAACAGGAGGTCCTCCTTTTTTTGCACTTGAATTTGAGCGCGATACCAATCCATTGAGATCTTTTGGGATACCAAAAAGCGAGCTCGCAGAGTTTTCCGCTGGTCAAGCTTAACTTGTGTAGTGGACGGAGGCCCGACTACGTAGATGCCTAACGATCAAGTGATCGCATCTTTCGCATCAGTAGCGGGATCCGCCAAGCGGAAGCCGTATTCTACACGAGGGTCTAAGACCGAACGTGGATACGAGCGCAGGAGAGTCGCGCACTGAGCAGCCTGCAATTGCTGTTCGTGTGCCTCGTCGAGGCGATTGCTAATAATACTACTTCCCCCGGAAACCGAGAGGTCGGGAACTGACATGGTGTCCGCAGGGTCTGAGCTGGGCTCGCGTCGCGCCGTTGACGTACTTCTTCTTACTCGTCTTCCCATGCTAGGAAAGAAGTGTTCGACTCGTAGTCGACATCCTCGTTGCCGAGGGCTTGGGATGCGCTTCTAGTGGGACGTACTGTCCGGATATGCATTCTGTGCAGAAGAAGAAGAAGTTTGGGATTGCCCGCGGGCGCCCTCGGAACCAGCCGAGCTGGGTGATTGCGTGTCGTAGACACAGGGCTTATAGAGCGGAGAATGTTTAAGGTTCTTTTTTATGAACGTAAAGGTGTCTCATATACGCGAGACTCATATGAGGCGATTGTTAAATGTGTGTGAATTGCGAATATTTACGATTTCAATGGGGATATTGTAACGGGGTTGCACAGGCCCTTGTAAACAAGAACGGGTCGCCAAGATTGTGCGACTGTACATAGGTGTGTATTGTACAGTTAGTGTAATAGCACAGTGGTGTGGCTACACCGTAACAAGAAGCAATCACGTGGCAGGAAGGCCAGGAGTAATGCATAGTACTATATTTATTAGGTTCTTCTATATTAATTAGGTATTACTATATAAATGAGCAAAATCTAGGGTTTTAGTCATTGGCGGCTCTGCTGCAAATAAAACAATAAAATACAGTTTCATTATTGAACAGAAGTGTTCGTTTGCCTTGGTTCCGCCATACTCGTACTGGTTCTCTGAAAGAACGTAAGGTCGGTGTCCTTAGCTTAGCTTCTTTTTAGCAAAGAGCTACGTCAGCCTCGCAGCAACTATTATTTTAATGCATTTGCTGCGCGATGAAAATATCACTTGAGCGGGATGCAGCACTAATACGACGCGATCGACGCGATCTCTCTACGCAGGTCATGGTTGAAAGTATACAGCATTACTTATAAATGATCTCTCAATCTTCTGATTTGTTAGCACCTCGACAAAGTGTTGTCAGTCTTGATTGAATCTGGATTGTCGATGCCAATGGACTTGCTGACATCAACACGGCTATTTTTTGCATCAAGTTGGCGAAAAAAGTACTTTTAAGTTTCCTACACAGATGCATTGTGCCTTCGATACATTGGACCGGTAAGGATTATAGTTACAAGAAAATAAAGGTGAACGCTGAATACATTTGGTGTCGATAGCAAACACATCTCTGTTTATGTAGGCTTGCTAGAACCGTGTCACGACCACGCTACATCAGCTGTATCGACGCGAAGTGTTCAGGTCTTGACTATTTCCTGCAGCTTATCTACCGCCTGCACTATAGCACGATCCGATTTTTGAACCTTGTGGGGTGCTTCAAGGCTATAGATCCAATTGTGAAGCTTTGCAGTCATGTTTGATATGATTGATGTCTGCATCGGACGTGCGCTGAGAACGAGAAAAAGATTCGACGCACCGCCTCAACCGCAAAGGCTCAAGTGAACCAGACTCGTGAGAGTTGCTTTCCGCCAGCTTTATTTAAACCAGAGCAGGACGACATCATCGGCACAGTGTCAGATTAAATGGAAAAAGGACCCCACTCTAAGAAGCCGTAACATTCTGACGGCAGGACTCCTTAGAAGTTGATGACGTCGATGATCGAGAAAACTCTTTACTTTTACCACGTACGGTATAGAACGGTTGTGTAGTACAATGCGTGGGCCAGCCATTACTTATCCGGTGACTGTGACAACACGATTATAGATATGATCAGGCTGCTGACAGCACGAAACCAAGAGAGTGTGAAGCTTCTAGCGTAATGTACCACGGGTTTGTCATGCACTTTTTGCGAAGACAGCTTTGACTTCCAGAGTGTGCGTTAACACAAACACACAGAGGCCGAGCTCGTGCACTCCTACGTGGCCCAGAAATGATACCCTTTAAAATAACTAACATGACTATTTTACCAAAATCGAGTTAAAATTTAAGGGATATGTAATGAGCAATTTTAGCGCGAACCCAATGAATGAGAGCAGCTCGCTTTGGCACCGTATTTTCTTAGTACAAATGATCCAAAAATATTCTTACAGCAAAATTCAAGCGCTCCTTCTGGCCATTTGTTTGCGGTCGGTCCGTGGTGATATGTTTAAATTGACGCCGAGCACCTTAAATAGTATTTGTCATAAATTTGTTGCGAATATAGGGTCTCTATCTGGTACATTGCCTGTCTCCTGCTTTGATAATGCTTCGATACCCCGCGGTAGAGCTCACAACGATATCAACGAAGCTGTCCAGCTTCTCAGCAACGAGCTGAACCTGTTTCAGGGGGACTAGCTTGGGCATTTTTTCAAGCAAGTCACGTTAATTCTTGCTCAAAATTTCACGTCCTATCAAATTCTGAAGCCTCCTGAAACTGATCGACGCACGGGATAGGAACCCTTACATACCAATGTGTGCCAGTCTTCCGCACCGACCAAAAAGAAAATAAGTGTCAAAAAGCCAACCCCGAAGCGCTTTCTCAAATCACACGTAGTCTTCCATCAGAATTATTATCCCCTTACTTGGAGCAGCAGCGGTCGAGGTAACCCGCACGCTCATGAGATATGAACATTGAGTATTGGAAGCGGTGGATGTACCGATGATAAACAATCTTAGTTCGCAATATTGGATTAGGGAAACGCATTGCCCCCAGTCTCACCGCTTTGCAAGCAGGCTTCTGTCAGGCGGACCTTCATCTAGAGCGTCGATTGATGCTTGAATTTGAAAAATATAAGCATGACGCGGGCTTTGGGAAGAAATACTGTCATACCGGGCTTTTGCCGTAAAAGTCCCGCTTGTTTTATCAGGCAGCTGTTACAGCCACCGACAAAGTACCTAACTTACAACGAAGCTGTTCATACTCGATAGTAGTAAGCGCTCTGCGGCAAGTGACACTTCCATTTCATCAGAAGAGACAAGGATGAGGATGTACCAGATGATGGGCGACCACGGCATTAAAGCAACGTTGCCAAAGTGGGACTTTGTTTTAATTGCTTTGAAATAAGGACATTTTCTACTTTATTGGATATTTATAACAACTCTGGTGTACCCGCTGGCCCACTAGCCGTTCCGTGTAAATCCATGCTTATCGAGCGATACAGGTGGATGATGATTCGTGGTTGACCATCGCGAGCTCGCTTGCTTGTGTTGGTAAGTTGATTTTTTCCAAGAGGCTTAATGTGCGACCATAATTAAGATACCCCACACTTCGAATGCTGTCTGAGCATTTCCTACACCAACAGCTCTCAAAACCTACACTGCTGCTGTGTAACAGTTAAGAAATCCGCAACAGGAGGGTAGAGGTGCCGCTCCTTTTACAAAGGACACTTCACATTTAACTGGCTCATACGACCGGGATCTTGATTAGGCTTGAGGAAGTCCACGTAGAAGCTTGGATGTGTTTGCATTGTCTTTGGGATGTTAAGAGTATAATCATAGTTTTTATTTGCTACGATAGTGTACGGTTCGACGTGGCGTGATCGTTAATTGCTCTTTTAGACCACAGACACTGCATATGTAGGCACCTTAATGGCGTTGAAATTATGTATATGTAATTGGCCAATACATGCGAGTACATAAAGTACCTTCTTCATGTATTGAGGGCTTTTCTATAGGGGTATGGTGGCTTCACATGCATATTTGATATCTTCTATGAAGTCACAAGCAATTATTCTGTGCGATACAGAATACTGGCTCTACTTGGAAACTTAAACTGATGACGATCCCGACGTGTCTCTGTCATTTGGTAATTGGTGTAAGCCATTCACTTCTGTCGGAAGCTTTCCACGGAAGTTCAAGTTCAAGCCATTCAGAGTTTAGTCTGTACGCTCAACACTTATATAAGTTCAAGCTGAGGTTTAGTATCTCAGTACACCCTTGATTGTGTAAATCAGATTTATAGGAATTCAGAGTTACATTAGTCGAACCTCCAGGAGCTCATAGGGTATTCTGCCTGTAGTGTTAGCAACCAGCAGTTTATTTCAATTTACTTGCAAATTTGCCTTCAAGCCTTCAAGTCTTCTTCTCCTCTTCAAGTCGGGACTGACCTTTCCCCTGCACATCGGAAATTGCTCCATTGTCGCACAATTGTGGGTGTCGTGCTTAAGAAATTGTTTTGAGCAACATCCTCTTACACCTGATAGCACTTCGAGTGGTCTTCCCAACGACATCCGATTCTGGTTTGATGACGTGGCTTATTAGCACGTCGCGTATTCCTGTCCATCACTTTCTCTATGCTTGTTCGTGCGACATTGTTGGAGTTGGAGCACCACTAGCTCCATTAGTATCGACTGAGGTGCTGACGAATGATATGTTTTCTTATTTGTCTTCACAAGAGTGAAGGGCACTCGAGCGCATGCGAGAAGTCATTGAAAAGCTGTTTTGGCCAACTTACTGTAGTATTCCTACCCGGATGATAAGAAGAACGCGACCTTTACTTTCATGCATCATGCGATAAAGTATGGAATCTCGGAAGCACATCACAACCCTTGTTTATTCTTTTTAAAATGATGCTTCGGAAGCTGAATGTGTCGTTGCACCGTGGCGGATAGAACGAGCCTCCTTCGCGATGGTCTGTCGAATTATGCAGCAATCAATGAGTGACAACTGCGATAATCTTTACAACAAGTGTTGTTTGCGATGTCAAGCCTTGCGGGCCGTGCGAAGTGTTTGTCCTTTGGTAAGCGTTATGCCGATCTTAAGTGCTCCCCCAACTGCAAAGAATTTAAGATCAACTTTAAAAAGGGATTTTAATCTTTACAGTGTGAGTTCCGTGTCCGTGCTAAGTTCTTGAAGCTTCGTCAACGACGTTAAGACCTACACTCGTATGCGCCACGTGCTCGCTACTTGGTATCGAGCATTGTTGACGATCCAGTTGACGTCCCACCGCACGTCTTAACGTTCATGGGTTTGAAAGATGGACCGATCCGGAATCAGCTGGTCCGTGAGTACCCCAAGACGATGGACGAAGCCATCAAGCAAGCCAAGTTCAATGGCTTCGTACCAAGACAGCGTCATTTAACTGCTACATGGAATAGTACAAAGCGAATGAGTATCTCTTACATTTTTCGCCGTGAGGGTACTTGCAGCGAGCATACATTCGACCGAGGAGAGTACTGAGGATGCTGATGTAACACAGAAATCTGGCCCCAACGTGCATGATGCACGCGTAGATTCCATAGGAAGTGATAGTTTAGTCTGGCAGCGTGTGATTTGATTGTTCAAGAAGCCTTTGTAAAAGCGCTTGATTGGCACTGGTGCGTTGATCAACTTCTTAGCCCAAGCGTAAGTTATGGTATCAGACCGTCTAATGTGAAAAGAAAATGATCATTCGTTTAGCAAATGGATTTTCAATAAAGATGCCTAAGCAAGTCATTCGCTTGATACTGGAGTTTAGGTATGTTTGAGACGAAGACGAATTTATCCTTCTCGTTCTCGATGACAAGTTTAAAACCACCCTTGATATGTCATAGCTGAAACATTATCAACTTTAAATTGACTGAATGATTATGAAGATCCAAATCAACAAGTCGTACAGCGCTTATTTGAGTTGCATGGCGATGGACGGAATGGTATGGGCGTATGTAGTTGCTAAATAAGTTTCAGATACCCCAAGAGATATTGTGGTGTGCGATGACCCCTATGCTCACAGGACAAGCCTAAAAAGGCTCAAGAAACGACGCCAAATGGAGGTGGATCACTCAAATGCAAAAAAAAGACTATTTTCTCTTCAGCGACATGAAAATCAAAAGCGGTAGTAGCATGAAAATTGTGGAACAAGCTGCAAAGGCTCATCCGAAAAGAAGAATAAAGGTCACCACGAAGGGATTACCAGCAAGTATTTTGCGTGCCCTGATGAAGGTACAAGTTGTATTGATAAAAGAAATGTCCAAAAACATATGATACTTTGAGCAAGTTTGTAAATGTCGTGGCCTGCAACGAAGAAGGCGACGGATGATATCATCCGTCGCCTGAAGATTGATATTCTTCAAATTCAATCAAAAACTATTTTTCCTGCCAACAATGAGCAAGAAAACACTACAGCGCAGGTTAAATAAGGGCAGAATCACGCAGGTGAGTGTGGTCGTCGATAAATTTACGAAGAAGCTATCAGCATTACACCAAGCATTGATGTAGATGTGTTAATCGACAAGACACCAGACGAGCGGTTTAAATTACAGTCATTGGAAAATGTTAAACCCAGTACTGTGTTCGAACTCGCAAAGGAAGACAAAGGCATGTTCCCAGACAAGGTGCCGGACGAGTTGTCGTCTGACTGAGGCATTCGTCAAAAGATGGGCATACTATCTGGTACGAAGTATTGCATTACTCAGCAGTGGCCATCGCCGAGAGAATAAGTCATTGTCATCGACAAGCTCGTTGCGCGGCGACAGAATGCTGGGCGTGTGGACAAGAGCAAGTCTTAGCATTGTAGCCCCACCATATACTAAAAGAAGGCAACTGGTGGACGGCGCATTGTTCGTGCTTTCAACAAATCGAATGACGCGACTATACCAGCGCAGACTCCAGCTCCACATAAGGACAT